TCAAAAGTATAAAACTCCTAGGAGAAAACATAAGGAAAATACTCATGATACTGAGCTTGACAATGATTTCTTGGATGTGATGTCAAAAGTGCACGTGTGTGCACGCGCGCACATACACACACACAAGATATAATGGGCAGGGTGACATACTCCTGTAATCCCAGTAACTCAGAAAGCTGAGGAAGGAGGATCTAAAGTTCAAGTCTAGCCCGAGTAACTTAGCCAAAATGTCTCACATTAAAAAAAAAAAAAAATCTTTTAAAGGCTTAGGGCTATAACTCAGTGGTAGAGTGTCTGCCTGGCATATGTCAGACCCTGGGCCTAATCCCCAGTAATATAAAAAAGAAATAAAGATAAACCAATGGAACGTCAAACTTAAAAACTCTTATGCATCAAAAATCACAAGTGATAGAGTGAAAAGGTAACCTACAAAACTGAAGAACATATCTGCAAATCATATATCTATTAAGGAATATTCAGGATATATAAAGAACTCCTACATCTCAACAATGACAACGACAAATCAAATAACCTTATTTTTCAAAGCACAAAGGACTTGAACAGATATTTCTCCAAAAGCAGGTTTTATGAACGGCCAATGAGCATAGGATAAAATGCTCAACATCACTCATCATCTCAAAACCACAAAGTACCACCCCATGCACATTAGCATGGCTATTGTAAAAAGGTTAAAAGAAAAAAGAACAAAAAGTAGCCAGCATTGGCAAGGATGTAGAGAAATTCATTTGTGCACTGCTGGTGAGATTGCAAAAACGGTGCAGCTTCTACGGAACACAGTATGGGCAGGGCCCTCAAAAAGATTAAAAAAAGAACTATCATATCCAGTAAGATTCCACTGCAGGTTATGGATTTAAAAACATGAAAAGAACAAAACTCAACAGAAAAACGACTTCCACTAAGAGGTAGAAGATCTGGCTTCTATTTCCAAATCTCTTGACTAGTATTACATGATATTAAAACCACTGTTAGTTCATTGGATATAATCACGACATACACTTATGCTTTTTAATTTAATTTTATTTTTCTGTGCTGAGAAATGTACCTAAAACTTATTGAGATTTTGTAACAATAGCATACTACACACGTTATTAATTTTTTAAAAACATTACATGTCAATCTGTGTCTAACATTAAGAAACTGAAAATTTAAAGGATGATCAAGGTGATGAAAAAGGAAGGAAGATGTGTTATGTACACGTGCCAAATGCAACCAAGGAATGTGCCCTGCACACATTTTATAATTTAAAAAGAATGATCAAGCTTCAAGTACATAGTCTTCACCACTCCTCCTGCAAGCATGAACAAAACAAAACAGTGTGGGGCCTGGGATTTAGCTCAGTGGTGCCGTCACCTGCCTCATAAGCACAAGGTCCCAAGTTCAATCCCTGGTACCCAAAAAACAAAACAAACCAAAAAATCCAGTGTGACAATGGCAGTATAATAAAAGGATTAAGAACACTGAACAAGCTGGGTGCAGTGGCACATGCCTATACTTGCAGGAGGCTATATTCTGGAAGGCTGGTAGGAGCATTGAAAGTTTGAGTCCAGCCTGGGCAACTTAGCAAGGTTCAACATTTAAAAATGAGAAAGGGCTGCAGATATAGCTCAGTGTGAAGGGCCTGGATTCAAGAAAGAACACCGAACAGAGAGGGCGAAGAGTGCTACAGGGAGCTGCTGACCAAGGCACATCCGGACAGTAATGGAGAACTTTCTATGGGAAAACACCTGACCAGTCAGGATTTACAAATCAAGTATAAGAAAGTATGGATCTTTCTCAGCCATATGGGGATGGACTTACTTCAAGGGGTCAAGTGGATTCCAGAGTGAACAAAGGGTACCCAGTACACAAAATGATGGCATCCAAAAGAAAAAAGGCAAGGATACAAGGTAAAAAGAAACAATCAAAAAAACCAACCCCCCCCAAAACAAACAACAAATAACAACCTATGAAAGCTAATTACATCAAGCCCTAGATACTGATGAGAAACATCCAGAAATCAATAAGCAGTAATGTAATGAGTGTAGTAGACAAGTCAAATGCTACACCAAAATGGAGGAATGAAACGGCACCAACTAGTTTAGTATGGTGAAATCCAAAACAAAAAAGAAACGAAAAGCAGTAATAACAATTGCCAAGTATGCAGCCGGGTCACAATTGGAAAGGCGGTCTTCCTGAAGATGGAGGGGTGGCCAGGCTGGGAGCGTTGCCCTGGAGATGGGAGTCAGCAAACAGCACTGAGCTGCAATCCCTCCTGGTATCCCATCATCCACAAAATGCTTTTTGCTTCTGCTTTTCTGAGACAAGGTCTTGCTATGCACCCCAAGCTGGCCTGGAATGAGGTTTTGTTTTTGTTTTTGAAACAGGGGCTTGCTATGTAGGTCAAGTGGACCTGAACTCGCTATGGAGCCGACGCTGGCCTCAAACTCATGGTGATCCTCCTGCCTCAGCCTTTTAAGTGCTAAGATTACAGGTGTGGACCATCAGGCCTGGCACAAAAAAATTTATTTTTAAAAAGCCTCTCCAGGGTCCCTTCCATTGCTCTCATTCTACACAGGGAGAAAACAAGAGGAAGCCATCAAAGCCTCAATTCAGATATTTCTTAGACTTGACTAGATGGCCTACTGTCAATACCCCGGCTACCCAGGAACAAAAAGGGGTGGTCTCCTAGATCTCCCAAAAACCCTGTGCACATCAGGACAGTAAGGAGAAAATAAACTCCATCTGCCAGGCAGAGAATATACAAGGAGATTTTAATGCAGGCAGAGGAAGGCAGCGTCCTGGTACCCGCTACCATGACAACTCTCTGACTGACTTGCTACCTGCTCAATTCCCTGAGACTGGCCATTCCACAAATTCTCAGGGCACCTGTGCCCAGCTTAGTCCTTTAGCAAGCCCTATGTGGTAGTGAAAAATTAACCTAACACTGAGTGTTGGCTGTGTGCACTGCGCCATCTGGAACTCATGCCTGTCTTTATATCCTTCCAAGAGAACAATCTTGAGGTAGTTACAACTAGTCTCATTTTGGGGTTGAAGGAAGGAAGCCAAGGCTCTGTGAGATCAAGTCACACACTCAATGCTGCCCCCCACCAGAGAGCAGCAGGGTAAGCCCTTCCAAGCAGAGGGGGTGTCTCTGCTCCCTGTTGGAAGGACTCAGTCCCAAATCTAAAAAAATCACCTAGCAAGAAGTTGGCGCTGAGCCCAGGCCTGCAGTCTTCTCCTTAGGCCTTTCCCTACGGGTGCTTACTTCCAGTCCAAAATCAAGGCTCTTGAGCATCTCTCAAAAGCTAGGTCAACAGGTTTGGAGTCACTCCACAGCGTAACTCCTACCAGTTTTTCCATGGGTCCAAAGGCCAGACAAAATGGTCCTATTATTCCGGGGCTACCACCCCAAGGGCAGCTTTTGTGGGGTAAAGCAGGGGGCTTGGACTTCATCCAGCAGGAAGAACAGTTCCCTGGTTCTACAGCCAGCTCTCCACAGGGAAGGGGCCTCAATTTCTGCACCAGTAGCTGAGGTGAAACAGCTTTCCACAAAATGCCGGGAGTTGAGGCTCTAGTTTTCTGACTCATCTTCAAATGTAGTAGGCTGCCTACAACTGAATCCAGACTCTGCTCCATGCAGCTATGGGTAAAGTGAAGTCAGTTTCAACTGACATTTTGAAGGAACAACAGATTCTACGGCAGTGGTGGTGAGCCCATGGCATGCGTGCCACAGAGGGCTGTTATCATTGAAATCTCTTAACAGTTCACCAACACTGTTTTATGGCCTCGTCTGTCTGTTCTTTTTTGTGGTTAACTGCAGTAGAATATTGTATTCATATGTAACTAATAAAGCTCTTTAACCATCAGAATGGAAAGAACTTTCAGTGGGAGGTAGAAGACCTGGATTCTAGCCCCAAATCTCTAATACAGCTTGTTGAGTTTTTAATTTGCTTTTGTTTGAGGCCCCGGGGGTCAAACCCAGGGCCTCCCACCTCCTAGGCAAGTGCTTTACCTCTAAGCTACACCCCTACCCTCCAGCATACTTTATCCCATCGCTTGCCCATATCTCTCTCTGCCTTCATTTCTTCATCGCTAAACAGGGAAGCAGCCCACCCATGCTATCCTCCCCCAAGTGTTACAGAAAACGAGAAGGGAAGTGAAACTCCGAGTTCCGCAGCAGTAGCAGCAGCACCATCCCCTGCCACAGTGCTCATTCTTCCTTCTCCTGCCAACCCCAGCCCAGCAGCATCTCAAGGCCCAAACAGGAGAGGCTCTGGGTTCAAGCAGGCTTTGCTGATGCCCTCAACAGAGGTAACTCCAGTGGAACCAAGAAGGGAAACAAAAACTCGCCTCATCTTGCTTGTTCTCCCACATTACCTACCAACACCACTCTGGATCAGAGATTCTGGAAACCACCTAACTTCTAATGAGGGTTTAAAAACACCAAGAAGAGGGCCAGGGATGCAGCTCAGTGGCACAAAGCCTGCCTGGCATGCACAAGACCCTGAGTTCAATTCCCAGTTTCAAAACAACAACAACAACAACAACAACAAAACAAAAAAACAAAAAAAAACCCCACCACCAGGCAGCAGATGTTCCTGCCCCTTCCTGGCCCAGCACCCTAAAGGTGTCCCTTTGCAGCTACTCAATGCTGTGGTTCTTCCCCCTGGCTCTGCAGGACACCTCACTCCACACCAGCTGGGAGACAGATGTCTGTTCTCTTCAGTGTGAACAGCCTCGCTGTTCACATCAGGCTTTGCGACCAAGGGGGTGTCAGCAGGGCTCGGCAGGAGGTAAAGCAGGCAAATCACTCTCAGGAGGGATGGAAGGTGAAGGCTGGGGCAGGGCAGGGGCACCGGGGCAGTGCTGGCTCAGGGAGCGTGCTGCAGGACAAGCTCTGTGATCTCCGCCCTGCTCCCCAGCCGCATGGGTATCCCATAGTAGGCCGTGCCTGGGCTGACGTATACAAATGTAGCCTGGGCCACTTGGTAGAGACCTACAAAGAAGGGGTTCAGGAGATAAGCCGCCACATTCCAGGGGAAGAGCTGCCCAGCGTGTGTGTGCCCTGAAAGGATCAAGTTAATATCTGGCCGCTCCTGAAGAGCTCTCTTGGCAGCCAGGGGCTGGTGGGCTAGCAAGATGGTGGTGTGGTCTGGGCTGCAGCCCCCCAGGGCCTTGCTGAGGTCCATGCCATGGTCAGAGTAGTGCAGGATGTCTGCTTCGATATCATCCACCCCTGCCAAGCAGATCCAGTCATCACCTTCCCCTTCACCGCCACCATGCCGGGCCCCTGTTGCAGAAATCTTTACATTCTCATTGTGAAGAGGCCGGACATGCAGGGATTCCAGCAGGGCAAACCAGTTAGTGACATCTGATGTGTAGTACTCATGGTTGCCTGTGACAAAGTAGGTGCCAAGGCGTGAATGAAGCTGGCCTAAGGGAGCGACAGCCGTCCGAAGGACAGAGGCTTCCGAATCAGAGAGGTCACCCACAATCACTGTGATATCTGGTTCCAGCACATTCACCATCTTCACAAACAGCTGCATCTTCGTCCTGCCCACGGTAGGCCCCAAGTGGATGTCTGAGAGGAGTGCGATCTTGAGGTTGTTCATAGAAGGAGGCAGCTGATGGATGGGCACTGCCACAGTTTTCACAGCTGGGGGCTGGGCAGCATTCAAAAGGCCCATCACGCTGAGCACAGCGGTCACCACCACTGCCAGGGCAGGCCTGAGCACCAGCCTCTGTGACTTGTCGAGGCTGCCTACCACCCTACCTCTGCGCCAGGCCAAGAGCTGGTAGGCCTGCTCCATCCCACTGAGGATGAAGAGGAAGAACAGCATGATGACATAAGCACCCAGGCAGGAGTAGGCTGCCATGGAAAAGAGATAGGGTTCCTCGGCCACCAAAAAGAGCATGGTGAAGAAACTGGAATGGGCCAGTGCCAGAAACATCATAACGGCCAGCTTCCAAAGCCAGAAACAGATGGACTGACCGGCCTGGGAGTGGTTGAGGTTGCTCACTGTGCTACGCCAAATGTACAGGGAGCCTATGAGCATGAGCGAGTTAACAAAGAGGGTGAGCTGCAGGCGAAACAGCCAACGCCAGGCACTCAGGTCAAGGGTCTCTGCCAGATAGGAACGAGAGATGATCATAGACACGAAGACAGTGACTGCAGTCAGGGTGGCCTTCCAGGCCAGGGACAGCTGCCTGAAGAGCGCCATTTCCTCTGCTCCTAGAAGAGTCCCCGCCAGTTCTGTGGAGGTGGGCGGTGGAAGGTGAGTTCCTTAGAAAAACAGTGACCAACGAGAGGCTTCCAGCTCAGCTCCGCCTGCAACCAGGAACCCGCATCAGCTTTGTGGAATAGAGCATCTCTGTCCTCATTCAAAACCCGAAGGCTGCTTAGACCTGTCCAACCCACCTAGAAACCAAGCCACTCAAGTATCAGTCACTTACTATACTCTACCAGTAAAGGTCACCAGCTGATGACACGATGAGCACTTTTTCTTTCCATGTGTGTGGACTGAACTCAAGTCCTTTGCACTGAGCTACATTCCCAATCCTTTTTTATTTTTATCTTTTTGAGACAGAGTCTGGATAAGTTGCCCAGCCTAGGCTTGAAGTTATGGTCCTCCTGCCTCAGCCTCCCAGAGTGCTAGGATTGCAGGGACATACCACCACACCTGGCTACAATTTTTCTTTTTTTTATAGTGGTCCTATGTGTTTAAAGTTTCTCCACAATGAGCTGAACTTCTTTGACAGTAAGCAAAACAGTATTCTAAGTCAGTGGTTCTCCATTTGTGATCCAAGGAGACCTCTTGGGGGTCCACTTAGTCAAAACTATTTTCCTAATAATACTAAGTTAGCAGTGCTTTTTCCATTCACTCCCTCTCAAGAACAGTGGACTTTTCCAGAGGCTTCCAGGCATGTGACCGGGCAAGAGACTGAATGCAGAAGTAGATATAAAACTGTCGATTAAGACAGACACAATGTAAAACAATACAACTCTAAGAAGAACTGTAGAAGAAATATGCTATTTTTCATTAAAATATATTTATTAACGTGTAATGGATGTACTACAGAAATTAGTATTTTAAAATTTTGTCTAGGACAGTTAAAGATCCAGACCACTGTTCTACATAAATTCAAAAAGGAAAATAATAGTACCTTTCTTCAGCTCTAGGTCCAAGAGGGACTCTGAGACACCTAAGAATTTCCGCAGTGCCAGCCTCCCCGTGTGGGCCTTAGACGGGACATTTGCCACCCATCTGAAGATGTCACGCGAGACTGGCCACCTATCACTCAAAGAGCTGCTCTGTGGACCTGTTCCTCAGCCATAACTCCTATCTCTTCCACTTCCCCCCTTAAATAACTGCCAAGATCTGCCTTCCCCTCCGCCCCTTACCCTGCTTAATTCCTCTTCACCTGCCGCTCTCACAGCTGGGACTCCAGGCCTCTCAATCAAGAAAAGCTTGTCTTAAAAACAAAACGAAAATGCGGACAAAAGAATCACACAGGTGGGAGAGGGACAAGTCTTTTTTTCCCCTCAAATGAAAACATTTTCAGCAGCTGCTTCCAAATACAGTGGTGCTTCGGTTCACAAACCCAATTCTCTCCACGACTCTGGTCACAAACCAAACTGGCGAACCGAATCAAATTTCCCCATATTCATACTGAACCTAACTATTGATTTTGATTCGGTTCTCATCCAACACGATTTACGAACAGAATCGTGGAAAGAATCAAGTACAAAACTTTCAACCTGGGGGGAGGGCGATTTAGCTCAGGGGCACCACACCTGCCTTGCAAGCACAAGGTCCTAAAATCGATTCCCAGTACGGGGGTTGGGGGACGGCTTTCAAACCTGGTTTCCAATAGATTTTGTCATAGGTTACTGACAGCCTTTCACCTAAAGCTGTACTTTTTAAGTCATCGGGCTAGAATTCTATCAGCATGTACTTAAAACACGCCACAGGCCCGGCCCATCTGAACTCCGGAGGAAACAAAGTTGATTTGTTGATGCAGGGCGGTAGAAACCACGTTTGATTGCGTCCTAGCTGCCCTTCCCGCAGGTGCGCGGCCCCTCACCTCGCCTCGCCTGGGGGCTCCCAGGTGCTCACCCCACGCCTCGCCAGGCCGCGCTCATCAGCGCTGACGCCCACCACCTGCAGCTGGTCTCGTCCCACCCTTAATCTGGCCCTCAAAACTCTAAAGAAAAAGCGCACCAGCCTGCAAAGAAAAACCAAAAGCCCCCCACCAAAAACAGACACAGGCGGCGGGGCCTGGAGAGAGGGGGATGAGATGTCTGAAAAAGTAGAACACCCCGAAAGAATTTCATCCCAGGTTCCCATCGCCCGGCTTCTCCGGACCTGGTTTTTCTCCTTCCGGAGCGCTCAGCAGAGCACGCGCTGGGTCACGGCGGGCAGTCACCCGCGCAACCTGGAATCCCTCTCCCGAAAAACCAAGCTGGAAGGGTCAGGTGCACCTCACCTGCCGAGCTCGCAGCACAAATGGAAACACTAGTCTTGCGAAAGGGTCAGCC